AGATCTCTGTCGTTTCATAATGACCTCATTATAAGAAATGTTGGTTTTGGTTTGTTTCGAGGAACATCCTCACAGATTCTGAATTCATCACCATCATTATTGAGCAGTCTCAAATACCTAGTATCTTCATGAGGATGTTTTGGTCCGTCAATTTAGTGCTTACGAATTCAAATGGATTGCTCTCATTTTTGTCTTCCAGTGCAATTATCTCACAAAATTCGTTGGAGAATGATGAGGAAGCATCGCAGAAAGTTGAGGAAGCAAAACTTCAGGAATTAAGTCACTAGATTAAAAATCTCAAAAATTTGATGACTGAGTTTCCACACATCAATGAGCAAATCATCTCCTAGCATGAAAATGAGAGTTAACGATCGCCAGAGACTTTCAGAAACAAGATATCGAATACGCCTTAAACGATATGACCTTCCATAATGTTCTCAAAAAGACACCAGCGACCATTCAGCAATTCTCACTAAATGATATCGATCTTACCAAAGTGCAAACCTGGACATTGGCGTTAATCGCTAAATTTGATGCTCTACAGCAAATCGCACTCAATTCGTGTCGATTCCCGTTGAATAAGGAATCGTTTATATGTCGTCTGCTAGCACCTTCATTTCATTCGTTGAATGCAATCGCAATCACTGACACTGATCAGGTTCTTGATGTTTAATCACTCGATAACTTTGATGACAGAAGCATTATCATACGATTACCGGTACTTACATTAATTTTAACTGATATTATATAACACATGAATCGATGTGATACAATCAATTCGATTGCCCGGATATCCGTCTGCATATTCACGAAGAATATCTCGTAAATTTGAATAGGAGCATTATTATTTGGGAATATCCTTTTGATAACGTTTAGAAGCGCTGAAATTTCCCATTTGATCAGAATCAGTGCCTATTCAATACGTATCGTTGATATTTGATAGCTTTAATAGTTCAATTCAGATCTCTGATAAGTTCGTAGCGATAATATCAAAGCGTTGTCCAATGCTAAGTGATATCAATGTGAGTGGC